AGCAGGGGAGGGGGGGACACACGACCCCCCCAGAATCCTCACAGGGACGGGGTGGGGTCCAGACTGTGCCCGAGGCCCCGGGGAGGGGCTGCGGCCGCCGCCGGCTCAGGAGCTCTGTGGGGAGAGAAAAGGGGGTGACACCGGGGTGGGGGGACAGGGGGGACACCGGGATACACCGAGACCTGGACTGGATCCAGTGGGACCAGAACTGGGGCAACGGGGATCATACTGGGAGCACCTGGCAGCATGTTGGAGGCAACTGGGATATACTGGGAGTGACTGGAACCACAGTAGGGGTGACTGGGAGCAACTGGAACCACACTGGGGGCAACTGGGATCATACTGGGAGCAGCTGGGCCCTTGCTGGGGTCATACTGGGATCATACTGGGAGTGACTGCAATAATCCTGGGAGTGTGTGAGAGGGACTGCAGCCATACTGGGGATGAGTGGGATCAAACTGGCTTTGTACTGGAAGTGTCGGGAAGTCACTGGTATCATACTGGTGGCAACTGTGATTGTACTGGGATCATACTGGGATCAGACTAGGATCATACTGGGAGCAACTGGTTCTATGCTAGGGACAACTGGGAGCAACTGGGATCCCACTGGGAGGAACTGGGAGCAACTGGGACCATGCTGGGCACAACTGGGATCATATTGGGAGCAACTGGGCCCACAGTGAAGGTGGCTGGGGTCATACTGGGAGTGACTGGGAGCATTCTGAGGGCAGTTGGGACCATGTTGGCACAACTCATCACTGGTTGCCAAAGTCATCCCATACCTAAAATAAACCTGAAACTCTGCTTTTCAGTTAACCTGCTGTCTTGCAGTCAAATTTTCAGACAATGCAATTACAAACTACTAGAAAAGGATCAAAACTGCATTCAGCAGGTGTTTTTTTGGAAAAAATCCTAAAATTTCCTGGTGTTGCCAATCAAACAGCCAATCAAAACAGCATACACTTTTATGAATCCCAAAAAACCAGTGGGATTGAACAAGCTCTTGGGAGAAGACAACCTGCTGGCATATGTAAATTGTCTTTGGATTTGCTGCAACATTAGAAAACAGACATTAACTTGGAACTGGCAAGATCAGCATGAAAAATCTAATAGACTAATATGGGAGTTGGTTGTTGTGAGGAAAACAAAGTTTCTTGGTCTTCAGCTGGTATTGCCAAAATGACAAATTTAAGTATCAACAACAGTATCTCAGAGGGACAGGCCAAGAGCAGGAAGGTGGCTGGGGAAGGGCCTGTGAGGTCCCTTCTCTCAGCAGGAGCTGATGGCTCAGCCCGTGACTCATGGCTGGGCCAGGGGCTCTCCAGCTGCCCCTGCCCTGGCCTGTGACAGCCCAGCACAAGCCCCTTTGGTTCAAAGAGGCCCTGCAGTGTCACAATGGCCTCTTGATTCTGTGAGGTTCCACAGTGTCCCAGGCCCCCCCTGATTCCATGAGGCCCCGCATGTCCCAGTGGCCACTTGCTTCCATGTGTTTCTGCAGTTGCCCAGGATTCCTTTTGTTCCATGAGGCCCCACAGGTCACAGTGGCCCTTTGATTCCAGGAGGTTCTGCTGTGTTCCAGGTTTCCTTCAGTTCCATGTGGCCCTGACATGTCACAATGGACCCTTGACACCATGAGGGTCCACAGTCTCCAAGGGCATTTTTGTTCCACGAGGCCCTGCAGTGTCCCAAGGGCTGCTTGATTCCATGTGGTTGCTCAGTGTCATCAAGGCCCCTTGTTTCCACAAGGTTCTGCAGTGTCTCATTGTTCCCACTGTTCCATGAGGTTCTGCAGTGTCACACTGGCCCCTTCATTCCATGAGGTTCCACAGTGTCCCCGGGTTCCTTTGGCTCCATGAGGCCCTGCACTGTCAGACTGGGCCCTTGATTCTCTGAGGCTCCACAGTGTAACAATGGCCCCTTGGTTCCCTGAGGTTCCAAAATGTTTCTGGGTTCCCGTGGTTTCATGAGGGCCCACGTGTCAAATGCTCTCTTGGTTCCACAAGTATCCACAGTATCCCAGTTTTCCTTTGTTTCTATGAGGCCCTGGACTTTCACAATGACCCCTTGGTTCCATGAATTCCAGAATGTCTTGGAGCTCCTTTGGTTCCATGGGGAGCTGCATGTCCCAATGTTCCCTCCTTACTGGGATGTTCTCCACAATTTCCTTTAGTTCCATGAGGCTCTGCAGTGTCACAACTGACCCTTGACCCCATGAGGTTCCAAAAACCACCAGGGTTCCTTTAGGTCCATGAGGCCCTGTAGTGTCACAATGGCCCCTTGTTTCCATGAGGTTCCACAGTGTCCCAGGATTCATTTTTTCCATGAGGCCATGGACTTTTACTCTGGAGCCCTGATTCCCTGCAGCCATGCTGTGTCACAATGGCACCTTGGTTCCATGAGATCCTACAGTGTCCCAGGGTTCCTTCTGGAGTGTGAGACCCTGCAGTGTCACAGGTGCCCCTTGATTCCATGATATTCCACAGGGTTCCTCTGATTCCATGAGGCCCCATATGTCACAATGGCCCCTTGATTCCATCAGGTTCCATAGCTTCAAAGGTTCCTTGATTCCATGAGGTCCCACAGTGTCACAAGGGTCCCTTTAGCTCCCTATGGCTCTTTGACATCCCGTGACCTCATGGCTCTTTAGGAGCCCAGAGAGCTTCCACAGGGGGAAGTGCTGGATTCTGCCCTGGGATGGGGCAACCCCGCATGGACGGACAGACTGGGAAGGAGAGGCTGGAAAGCAGTGCCGGGAAAGGGCCCTGGGGGTGCTGGTGGGTGGCCAGTTGGCCCTGAGTCAGCAGTGCCCTGGTAGCCAGGAGGGCCAAGCCTGTCCTGGGGGCATCAGGCCCAGCATGGCCGGCCGGGCCAGGGAGGGGATTGTCCCGCTCTGCTCTGCCCTGGGGCGGCCTCACCTGCACCATTGGGGCAGTTTGGGGGGACACAATGGAAGGGAGAGATTGAGCCATTGGAGAGTGTCCAAAGGAGGGCAAGGAAGATGGGGAAGGGCCTTGGGGGGAAGGCGTGTGAGGACACTGAGGGCACTTGGTGTGTTCAGCTGGAGGAGAGGAGACTGAGGGGAGACCTCAGTGCAGGTCCAACTTCCTGGGGAGGGGCAGAGGAGGGGCAGGCCCTGAGCTCTGCTCTGGGGGGACCAGGGACAGGACTGAGGGTACTGAACAGGCTCCCCAGGGCAGTGGGCACAGCACCAAGGCTGCCAGGGCTCCAGCAGCATTTGGATGATACTCTCAGACCCACGGTGTGACTGTTGGGAATGGTCCTGGGCAGGGCTAAGTGTTGGACTTGGTGATCCTGGTGAGTCCCTTCCACCTTGGCATATTCTTTGAGTCTGTGATTCTGTAATGTCCTGTTGATTCCACGAGGTTCCACAATGTCCCTCTGTTGTTTCTGTGCCATGAGGCCCCCACTGTGGTGTCACCCCCTTTTCTCTCCCCACAGAGCTCCTGAGCTGGTGGCTTGACCCCCCCCATCCCCATGAGGATTTTGGGGTGTCCTGTGTCCCTCCCTCCCCTGCTTTTATTCTGACACCACCCAGCTGCTCCCAGTGATCCCAGTAAACCTTCCCAGTTCTCCCCAGTCCTGGTTATGGCAGACAGTGGGGGAGGGGCTTGGGGTGGAGCTGAGTTTGGGGGGGCAGAATTGGCCCCGGGATGGATCAGAAATGGGGACCTCCCTGTATTCCTCCTGTGTCAATCTGCTCTGGGGGGGCTTTGAGAGGGCACCTGCCCCTCAGTAAAGCACCCAACTCACCCTAAAAGGTGCTGGGACCCCTCAAAACCTCCCCACAGCCCCTCAAGGACCCCCAAACATACTCAGAGCCCATTCAGAACCCCACCCAACCCCTTTTCTGGGGGGACTTCTCTGGGCACTGGTGGTGCTGGGAGCCCCCCCAGCTGCAGGCGAGGAGATCTCGGGTGAGCGGGGGGTGGGAAGGGGGCAGACAGTGGGAAAAGGGGAATCAGAGGGGATAAAGGGGTGGTGGGACCCCAAAGTTAGTGAGAGGGCAGAGGGACTCCCCAAAAGTGTAGGGGAAAAGGGCTCTGAGGTTTGGGTGATGATGGGAAATGTGTGGGAGAAGTCAGAAGAGTGGGGAAAGGGGAGAGTGGGACCCCCAAACTGAGCATGAGGGGGCTGGGGATGGAGGGGACAATTGGAAAGTGGAAGGAACAGCGAGAAGGGTGGAAAAGGGAGGGTGGTCTGGCAGGTCTGACAGTCCCATGGGGGTCTTTGGGCACAGGGAGGGTTGGCAAAGGGGGGTGACCCCCCTGAGCTCCCAACTTCCTGTGGGGTGCTGGGGGCTGCTGGATCCAATCTCAGCCTTGGATCATGCCAACACTTTCAGTTTAGAGGAATTACAGAGGTGTGACTGAACCACTTTTGTCCCCCAGGTTTTAAAGATGGTAAATCAGATCTACTGATAGAAATGAATTATTTAGGGTTCCAAATGATCAGACAAAAGATCTTCATCAGAATTATTTACTGCACAATAAAAACACTAAAACTACCAGGAGTACAGGATAAGACAGGACAGTGCTCTACACTAAAGCAATTGTTGAATCTCCGGCCACCTTCCCGGCACAGGCTGGCTCTTCCCTCCTCAGAGCACCCTGGGATGGCTTTGGAGCCCCTCCTGCGGGGGGATCTCCGGCCCTTTTCCTCCCCGCTGCCTTCCTGCGCCGGGGAGCCCTTCAAAACGGCCTCTCCCACCAGGGTCTCACGGGGGGATTTGTCCTCCGGGCTCTCCCTCCTCACCTCGGGGCCTGGGGCAGGATGGAAGAAGGACAGGGGGGACCTGGGAGGACCCTGAGACCCAAACTGAGTCCCCTGAGACCCCCGAAACTCCCCCCCTCAGAAGTCCTGGGGGGATTTTGGGGCAGCAGGGCCTGGAGGATGGGTGGGCATGGCCCCCAGCCCTTCCCCCGGGGAAATTTTGGGTGGGCGTGGCCTCCCGGGGTCACTGGGCCGTGTCTCCTGTTTTTGGGGCCTCGGCGGGGACTGTGAGGGGATGAAGGGGGCTCCCCAAAATCGGAGGCCTCTCCCAAACTGGGGGGTCACAAGACCCCTGCTCATCCTCATCCTGCTCCTCGCAGGTAGGATTTGGGTCTGGGGGTCTCAGTTTTGGTCTGGGGGGGTCTCAATTTGGGTCTGAGGGGTCTCTGGGGTTTCAGTTTGGGTCAGGGGGTCTCAGGCTTTGGGTCTGGGGGTCTCAGGGGTCCCAAGGCCTCAGTTTGGGTCTGGGAGCCTTGGTTCTGGGGGTCTTAGTTTGGGTTTGGGTGTCTCAGTTTGGGTCAGGGGGGCTCAGGATTTGGGTCTGGGGATCTCAGGCTTTGGATCTGGGAGTCTCAGGTTTCTCAGGGTTTGGGTCTGGGGGTCTCAGTTTGGGTCTTGGGGGTTTCAATTTGGGTCTGGGGGTCTCAGTTTGGGTCAGGGGGGTTCAGGATTTGGTTCTGGAGGTCTCAGGGATCCCAAGGTCTCCATTTGGGTCTGGGGGTCTCAGGGTTTGGGTCTGGGGGGTCTCAGGGGGTCTCAGCACTGGTTTTGTCCCCCACACCTGTGTCAAAATGTCCCCCGTCCCCCCCCAACCAGTATTTCCTGTCCCCAAACTGGGACAGGGAACCGAAACTGAGAGGGGGGAGGGGGGGAACTGGGAGGGGCTGGGGGGCCCCAATGACATTCTGATGGGTCTGGGGGACCTTCAGAGACCCCGGGGGGACCCCCAATGACCCCTCACTGTTCTGGGAACTCCCAAAGAACCCCCTCCAGCATGGACAGGGACCCCCAGTGACCCCCCCCGGGGTCAGTCGCCCTCCGTGGGTGTTGGGGTGCTCCGGGGGACCCCCAGCAGGGACAGGGACCCCCAGTGACCCCCTCGGGGTCGGTCGCCCTCCGTGGGGGTTGGGGAGCTCCGGGGGACCCCCCATAACCCCCCTCTGTCCCCGCAGGCTCCCAGTGCTCCCAGACCCCCCCCGAAGGCTGTGCCCCGTGCCCGACCCCCTCCCTGCCTCCCTCCCCGGAGCCCCCCGAGACGCCGACCCCCGTGACCGTGACCACCGGGAGCCCCCCGAGCCCCTCCTGCTCCCCGGCCCCGCCCCGGGGGTGGCTCCGGGTGTGGGGGGGGCCCCCCTCCCGCGAGGGGCGCGTGGGGACCCCCCTGACCCTCGAGTGCCACTTCCGAGGCCCCCCCGACACCGCCCTGACCTGGCTCCAGGCGTGTCCCCCCGGGCTCGGGGAGGTCCCCCGGAGCTGCCCCTGGCCCCAGGAGGTGGTGGCCACCCGGGGGGGCCGCCGGATGGACCGGGTGGTGCGGGAAGGGGGGGGAAGCTCCACCCTGACCTTCCCCAAACTGTCCCACAACGACTCCGGGCTCTTCTTCTGCCGCGTGGAGTCCGGGGGGGAGACGGCCCAGAGCTGCGGCACCTTCGTCAGGGTCCTCGGTGAGTGGGGGGCGCGGGGGGGTCTCAGCCAGGTCACTCGGCCCCTCCCGGTGCCCCCAGTATGGTACCAGTATAGCCCAGTCCCTCCCAGTTTAACCCAGTCCATCCCAGTCCCCTCCAAGGGTATCCCAGTGCCCCCCAGCCCTGCGGCACCTTCGGGAGGGTCCAGGGGGTCTCGAGGAGGAGTCGGGGGGGGGGCTGGGGGGTCTCATCTGAGTCACTGGTCTTTCCCAGTCCATCCCAGTTCCCTCCCAGTATAACCCAGTCCATCCCAGTCCCCTCCCAGTATAACCCAGTGCTACCACGAGCCCCCCAGTCCATCCCAGTGCCCTGCAGTGCCCCCCAGTCCCTCCCAGTATAACCCAGTGCCCTGCACTCCCTCCCAGTATACCCCAGTCCCTCCCAGTGTGACCCAGTCCCTCCCAGTATACCCCAGTCCCTCCCAGTGTAACCCAGTCCCTCCCAGTGTAACCCAGTCCCTCCCAGTGTAACCCAGTCCCTCCCAGTATACCCCAGTCCCTCCCAGTGTACCCAGTCCCTCCCAGTTACCCAGTCCCCATTCACGCAGAGCCGGTTCCCGCCCCGTTCCTGGCGCTGAGGGAGAGCACCAAGAACCGGATCCTGACGGCGCAGGGGGTGCTGCTGCTGCTCTGCTCAGCTGGGCCGGGGCTGCTGCTGCTGCTCAGGGTGGGACACTGGGACAAACTGGGACAACTGGGACAGGGGGACACCAACTGGGACACTGGGACAACTGGGACACCCAACTGGGACACCCAACTGGGACACCAACTAGGACACTGGGACAACTGGGACACTGGGACAACTGGGACACTGGGACACCCAACTGGGACACTGGGACCCCCAGTTCTGTCACTGGGACCCCCAATTGGACACTGGGACCCCCAGTTGGGACACTGGGGACACCAACTGGAACTTTGGGACCCTTAAATGGGACACTGGGGACACCAACTGGGATGCTGGGGACACTAATTGGGACATTGAGACACCAACTAGGACATTGGGGACACCAACTGGGATGCTGGGGACACTAATTGGGACATTGAGACACCAACTGGGACATTGGGGACACCAACTGGGATGCTGGGCACACCAACTGGGACACTGGGGACACCAGGTGGGACATTGGGACCCGTAAATGGGACACTGGGGACACCAATTGGGACACTGGGGACACCAACTGAGACATTAGGGACATTAATTGAGACCCTGGGGACACAATTGCCCCCCAGGTCCCCCTAAATCCCCCCTGGGTAACCTCAATCCCCCTCGACACCCCAACCCCCTCTGATACCCCCAATTTCCCCCCGGATGCCCCAAAACCCCTTCAACCCCCCCCCGTACCTCCCAGTTCCCCCCAAATTCCCCTCAGTTCCCCCCAATCTCCTCCTGCCATCCCCAAATCCCCCCAGTCCTCCCCAGAGACACCCAACCCCCCCTGGCCACCCCTAAATCCCCCTGGTGCCCCCAAAACCCCCCTGGCCGCCCCAACGCCCCCCGGCCACCCCTAGTTTTCCCCCGTCACCCCTTAATTCCCCCTTGGTGCCCCCTAGCCCCCCCCGGATACCCCTAAATACCCCGTAGTGCCCCCCAAACCCCCCCATGCAACCCCCAAACCCCTCCTGGAGCCCCCCAACACCCTCCCCGGCCACCCCAAAACCCCCCTGTGCCCTCTTTCCCCCCCCCGGCCACCCTTAAATGCCCCCTGGTGCCCCCAGAAACCCCCCCTGGCCACCCCAAAACCACCCTGGTGCTCCCAAACCCCCCCTGGCCACCCCAAAAACCCCCCTGTGCTCCCTTCCCCCCCCCCGGCCACCCCTAAATCCCCCCTGGTGCCCCCAGAAAACCCCCCCTGGCCACCCCAAAACCCCCCTGTACCTCTAACCCCCCCCCCGCCATCCCTAAATCTCCCCTGCTGCCCCCCAAAACCCCATTGGCCACCCCAAAAATTCCCTTTTCCCCCTTTCCCCCCGCCCCGGCCACCCCTAAACCCCCCCTAGCCACCCCTAAATCCCCTCTGGTGCCCCCAAAGCCCCCCTGGCCGCTCCAACCCCCCCCATGCCCCCTTTTCCCCCCCCACAGAAGCGCTGGGCCAACGAGCAGCTGCTGCACCCCGAAAAAACCACATGCGAGGAGGAAAACCTCTACGAGGTGACATTCCGGGGGGTCCCTGCACCCCAAAATCGTGCTGGGGGGGTCTATCACCCCCTAAACCCCCCCAAACCGACCCAAATCCCCCCCTTTCCTCATTTTCAGGGGCTGAACCTGGACGAGTGTTCGATGTATGAGGACATTTCCCGGGGGGTCCAACCCACCTACCAGGACGTGGGGACCCTCCCCGGCGACTCCCAGCTGGAAAAGCCCTGAGGGACCCCCCGAAAAAGGGGGGTGGGACCCCCCCGGGAAGGGGTTTGGGACCCCCTGGCTCTGCTTGGGCCCCCCCAATGCTCTGCTCTGGTGACACAAGGCCGTGCTGACCCCTCCCAAAATAAAGCTGCTGCGCTGCCGGACGGGTTCTGTGGGTTTTGGGGGGTTAGTTACTCGTTAGTAATTAACGAGTGGTTAATTAATCAGCAAGGGGAGGCAGGTGAGAGCAGAGATGCCTCAGAGTCTGATGGGAAGGGGGGTCTTGTAGTGACCCCCATTTTTCCCCTATTATCCCCCATTTTCCTTCTTCATCCCCTATTTTCCCCATTTTCCCTCATTTCCCCCATTTTCCCTCATTATCCCCCATTTTCCCCATTACCCCGTTTTCCCTCATTTCCCCCATTTTCCCCCCATTTTTCCCCATTTTCCCCATTATCCCCTATTTTCCCTTATTTCCCCCATTCCCCCCCCATTTTTCCTCATTATCTCCTATTTTCCCCATTATTCCCATTTCCGCGTTATCTCCTATTTTCCCTCATTTCCCCCCATTATCATCTATTTTCCCCTCACTCTCCCATTTTCCCTCACTTTCCCTCCATTTTCCCCCCTTTTTCTCTCAGACACCCATTTCCCCTCATTTTCAACCATTATCCCTTCTTTTCCCTCCATTATCCCATATTTTCCCCCATTGTTCCCCGTTTCCCCCATTATCCCACATTTCTCCTCTATTATTTCCCATTTTCCCTCATTATCTGACATTTTTTCCTATTATCCACCATTTTTCCCCATTATCCCCCATTATCCCACATTTCTTCTTCCTTATCCCCCATTTCCCCCTCACTATCCCCCATAATCTCCCATTTTCCCCCATTACCCCTCATTTTCCCCATTTCCCCCTCACTCTCCCCCATTACCCTCCCATTTCTCTCCCTTTCTCCCCTATTTCACCTCATTTTACCCCATTTCCCCCCATTATCCTACATTTCTACCCCATTATCCTCCATTTCTACCCCATTATCCCCCATTTCTACCCCATTATCCTCCATTTCTACCCCATTATCCCCTATTTTTTCCCATTTCCCCCCCGTTATCCTCCATTAACCCCCATTTCCCACAATTTCCCCCCATTCTCTCCCATTTCCCCCTCTCTCTTCTCCATTCCTCCATTTTCGCTCATTTACCCCATTCTCTCCATTATCTCTCATTTTTGCCCATTTTCCCCCATTCCTCCCATTTCCCCTCATTCTCCCCCCACTTCCTTCCCATTTCCCCTCATTTTCCTTCCATTTTTCCCCATTTCCTCCCATATCCTTCTGTTTCCCCCTCGCTGTCCCATTTTCCTCCATTTCCCCCCCATTATCCCCCATTTTCCCCCATTTCCCTCCCATTATCCCCATTCTCCCCCATTTCCCTCCCATTATCCCCATTCCCTCCCATTTCCCCCATTTTACCCCATTTCCCCCATTATCCCCATTTTACCCCATTTTACCCCATTTTACCCTCATGCTCCCTCAGCCTTTTCCCCCTCAGCCAATCAGCGCCGGTCTCACCAGCCCCTCAGCCAATCAGCGCCGGTCTCACCAGCCCCTCAGCCAATCAGCGCCGAGCGCGGGAAATTGGAACCCCGATGGCGCGTGAGGGGGGAAATGGGGGGGTTTGAGGGGGAACTGAGGGGTAATGGGGGGAATCTGAGGGGAAATGGGGGGGAATTGGGGGCAATGGGGGGAATCTGAGGGGAAATGGGGGGGAATTGGGGGCAATGGGGGGAATCTAGGGGAAATGGGGGGGACTTGGTGGTCAATGGGTGGAATCTAGGGGAATGGGGGGGATTAGGGGAAGGGGGGGAATCTGAGAGGGAAATGGGGGGGAATTGAGGGTGGAATGGGGGAATGAATCTGAGAGGAATGGGGGGGCTTGGGGGCAATGGGGGGAATCTGAGGGAAATGGGGGGGAATTGGGGGCAATGGGGACTCTGAGGGGAAATGGAGGGGGAATTGAGGGGGACTGGGGGGAATCTGAGAGGGAAATGAGGGGGGAATTGGGGGCAATGGGGGGAATCTGAGGGGGAAATGGGGGGAATTGGAGGTTCCTCAGGGTGCCGGGAGGGTCTCACAGGGGCAATGGGGGGTGGGATCTGAGGGGGAATTGGCGGGTCCTGGGGGAGAACCTGAGGGGGAAATGGGGGTCCCGGGGAATCAGGGGGAGCCCTGGTGGGTGCAGGGGGTGTCCCGGGGGAGGGGGTCACTGCGGATCCTGGGAGGGGCTGAGGGGTCAATGGGGATCTGGGGGGGGTTAATGGGTGTCCCGGGGGGGCACGCAAAACCTCCTTTTTTCCAGCCTTTTCCCTCCCTGCCTGCGCTGCCCCCCCTTGCCTGCACTGCCAGCCCTGCCTGTACTACACGCCCTGCCTGCACTGCCAGCCCTGCCTGTACTACACGCCCTGCCTGCACTACACTCCCTGCCTGCACTGCCGGAGGGGGAGCGCTAGAACATTTTTTGGGAGGGGGGACTGGAGCCGAGGGGTCCCTATAGGGCCCAGGACTGTCTCTATGGGGCTGAGGGGTCCCTATGGGGCCCAGAACTGTCCCTGCAAGGCCAATGGATCCCTATAGGGCCCAGGAGCCCTATAGGTCCCTATGGGGCCAAGAGGTCCCCATAGGGCCCAGGACTGTCCCTATGGGGCTGAGGGGTCCCTATAACATTTGGGAGTGTCCCTGCAAGGCCAATGGACCCCTATAGGGCCCAGGACCATCCCTATAGGGCCAAGGGGTCCCTATAGGGCCCAGAACCGTCCCTGTGGGGCCGAGGGATTTCTATGAGATGAAAGGCACCCCTTCCCCCTCCATTTTGGGGGTCCCTCCTCTTATTTTGGTGTCCCCTCTTGGCCAGGCTCTGGCCCCTCCCCTTTTATTTTGGGGTCCTCCATTTGAGGGTCTCCCTTTTTTGGGCTCCTACCCCCACACCTTTTTGGGGTGACAGCCCAAGTTTATGGCCCCTCCCCTTTTTTTGGGGGGGTCCCCATCCCCCATTTCTCCCCCCTACCCTCCAGTTTGGGGTCTCTCCCGCCCATTTTGGGGTCTCAAGCCCCATTTTTGGGGTCTCAGGCCCCATTTTGGGGTCCCCCATTTTGGGATCTCCTGCCATTTTGAGTGTCCCCCCTAGATTTTGGGAGGTTTCCACCCCATTCTGGAGGATTTCCACCCCATTTTGGGGTCCCCTCTCCCCATTTTGGGGTCTCTCCCCATTTTGGGTTCCCGCCCCCATCTTTGGGGCTTTCCTCCCCATTTTAGATTCCTCCCCACTTTGGGTCTCCCCCCCTATTTTGGGGTCTTCCCCCCCCCCTTTTGGGGTCTTACCACCACCACATTTTGGGGTCCTCACCCCATTTTGGGGTCCCCCCCCATTTTGGGGTCCCCCAGATTTTGGGGGCTTTCCACCCCATTTTGCCTCCCCCCCATTTTGGGGTCCCCCCTATATTTCAGGGTCTCTTCCCTCATATTGGGGTCCCCCCTCATTTTGGGAGCCCTCCCTGCTTTTGGGGGATTTCCACCCCATTTTGGGGTCCCTCCCTTTCACTTTATTCCCCCCCCCATTTCTTCCCCTCCTATTTCTGGGTCCCCTCTCCCATTCTGGGGGGTCCCCCCTCCCATTTTGAGGGTGTCTCCGTTTCGGGGGAGTCTCACACACCATCGGGGGGGGACACACCCCAAATTTACTGCACGGACACCACGGCACAGAACCAACCACGACACGAGGGGGGGGCACGAGGGAGGGGGGAGACTCCAAAATTCAGGAGGGTTTTGGTGCAGGGGAGGATGGGGGGAGGCGGGGGGTGTTTTGGGGGGGTCCAGCAACCCCTGGCCCCCCCTAAGTGAGGGTGATGAAGGCCGAGGCCTTTTCCTTCGGCTGCTTTTCTCCCTCAGCACGTCCCATGTAACCAACTGCTGGGCTTGCACCGCCTGTGCCGGGGGTAGAACCATCCCCGTAAGGTCACTTGGTCTGATCTGTCACAAACGCCGTGAAAACGTGGAACAGAAGCGTTCTCAGAGCAGTGACTGTCCCCCTGGACTCAGCACTGGGGAGGCCACACGTCAAGTTCTGCGGCCAGTTCTGGAGCCCTCAGTTTAGGAGGGACATTGAGGTGCTGCAGCAGGTCCAGAGAAGGGCAACAGAGCTGGTGAAGGATCTGCAGAGCATGTCCTGTGAGGAGCGGCTGAGGGAGCTGGGGGGGTTCAAGCTGCAGAAAAGGAGGCTCAGGGGAGACCTTGTCACTCTCTACAACCACCTTAAAGGAGGTTGTAGCCAGTGGGGATCGGCCTCTTCTCCCAGGCAACAAGTGACAGGACAACAGGACACAGTCTTAAGCTGTGCCAAGGGAGGTTTCAGGTGGACATGAGGAAGAATTTCTTCACTGAAAGCGTGATTAGACGTGGGAATGGACTGCCCAGGGAGGGGGGCGAGTCACTGTCCTTGGAGGTGTTTAAGAAACAACTGGATGTGGCACTTGGTGCCATGGTCTAGTTGACATGGTGGTGTTGGGTCATAGGTTGGACTTGATGATCTCAGAGGTCTTTTCCAACCTAATTAATTCTGTGATTCTGTGAACTGGGATACAGTCTTTTTCAGCAGGATGCTCCAAAGGGCCACAGCAGACCTCGATGATCAGGACGGTATCTACATTCGATACCGTACTGATGGAAGCCTTTTCAACCTAAGGGGACTGAAGGCCCACACCAAGACCTTAAACCATCTTGTCCAGGAGCTGCTTTATGCTGATGACGCCGCCCTTGTTGCCCACACAGAAGCAGCTCTGCAGCGTTTAACATCCTGCTTTGCTGAGGCTGCTGATCTCTTTGGGCTGGAAGTCAGCTTAAAGAAGACAGAAGTTCTCCATCAACCTGCACCTCAGGAAGTCTTCCATCATCCCCACATCACCACTGGCCAATCAGAGCTCAAATCAGCCCAGCAGTTTAATTACCTGGGTAGCCTCAGGATGATAAGATTGACAGAGATAGGCAACAGGTTTGCAAAGGCATATAGTGCTTTTGGAAAGCTTCATAAAAGAGTTTGGCGAAATAAACACCTGAAGAAAAGTACCAAGATCAGTGTTTACAGAGCCATAGTGCTGTCTACTCTCTTGTAT